AAAACGTACAATTTTGTATATATATTTTTGTATATTAATTTTTCATATTTTTGTACATGTGTAAATATTGTAAACCTTTCGCTTCTTATCTTGTGCATGCCTTTGTTTCTTTTCAAACTAAATTCTATTGTTTCGCTATCGCTATCTTTACCTAGAATTTCATCGTCTTCGATACCTATTTAACAACCCTTATTAATAGCTGGCTTTCCCTCGCTTACTTTTTCTTCGAATTCTATTCTATTCAATCTCAACTAGTCTGTACATGTTCGGTTAATACTTTTCCTTCTAGAATGTTCTCCCTCTATTTACTAACAATCCTGTTGTATAAATACCCTTCAAATTTCCTACTTATGAACCAGTGTTCAGTAACCAGTAACCAGTCTACCTCTTGATAATTCGTAAGTGTTTTATATTGTTATTATTTGTTGTTGTTCTTATGTTGTTTTTGAGTGTTGTTCAGTCTTATTAAACTTTTGTATATATTCTTCATTTGTGTTGTGTTTGGTTTTGTGTTACGTTCCTTTTGGTACAAAAATTATTAGTGCTTTTATTAAAGGCGCTAAAACATTGTTATTGACGCAACCTTTGACTTTTAATATGCTAAAACCCGATGTGTATAGGAGGAATTCGTCGGGGTTCCTTGGTTGAGTCGTCCATTGGGCGTTTGAAGCTGGCGTTGGTGATCTAGAGAACGACACCCTTCTTTCTTCATTTCTACAGTCGTAGTGTCCACAACGGTTGCAACTGCAGCATCGTGGCCTGCCGTCGGAACATCTAATATTCGGCAAGGATGTATAATGTTGATTTCTTTGTTGGCTTTGATCGTACGAATTTCTTTGTTGATTTCCCCTGTAGCTGTTTCCTCTTGACATACTTCCTCTTGGCGCGTTTCCTCTTGGTGTATTTCCTCCAGGCGCACTTCTTCTTGGCGCATTTCCTCCTCTGTTTCCATTTCCTTGGTATCCCCTGTATTGATTTTGGTAATTTCCTTGAAAACTACCCCTGGGTGTTGGAGCCTGATAGTAATTATTTTCGCGTTCCAGGGACGATGTTGTGGTGTTGAAGGTGGATTTCGATAATTTTGCTGGAACCTTGGCCGTATATTTCCCCTGCTGCCGGATGCGTGGTTTCTTGTATTTTCCTAAGATGATCTTGATCCATGAGTTGGTGTTATTGTAGAAGTTGTTTGGGCCGTCATTCTATCATTTAGAACCCTTTCCCTAACTTCGCTTAATCGTAATACTAATTTTTTAAGTTCATCAAAAGTTGTTATACCGTTACTGAATAGATAATAAGTTTCTGCAAATGATGAGTGCAGTCCATTCTCAAATTGGTCCCTAAATGTTTCAAAAGGCATGTCGGTGTCTATTTCGTGGGCAATACATAAAAGATCATAATAATACCTTTTTAAATCTTCATTATCGCGTTGTTTTCGGTTTTGAAATTTAAATTTTAATTTACGCATTGGTTGTTCCCCGTTAAATTCTCTTTTAAAATCATTTTTAATTTGTTCCCAGTCGTTTTCCCTATTTTGTTCATTTTTTATATATTCATTATACCAAATATTAGCGGGTCCCTCTAGGAAACTTCCGAAATAAACAATTTTATATGTATCTGTCCAACCATTACACGCAGCTGTTCTGTCATATTTTGATAAAAAAGTTAAAGCAGAATCCGAGCTTGGATCAAACGTTGGCGGTGGTATAAATTTAGGAGTAGCTGGTTGCTTTGTTTCCGCAAAAGCATTTGATAATGTGGTATTTTGCATGATTTCGTTTGGTGAATTAGTGCGAGGTTTTTGAGGGGTTGGTAATGTTAGTGTCTTTTGTAATTGCGGTTGATTTATTTGTAGTGTAGGTGACCTAGGTGTTTGTGTTATTAGGTTGCGTTTTTCAGCGTTCTGTGGCGTGTAAGTAGGGGTCGGTGTAATTGTTAATTGAGTAGAGTTAGAATTCGGTGCCTGATATACTTCAGGTAATTCAAATGTAAAAATAGATGGAGATTGTCGTGGTGGACTTCTGGACAAGGATGATTGAGGTGTGAAAGGATCTGTAGTAGTGCTGCTGTGTGTTGGTCTGAACTCTTTCGAATTTGTTGCCCCCTGATTATTTTTGTTACTTATTTGTTCAACGTTTGCCTCCGAGCTCGATTTTTTCTGACTGCGTGTTACCCTTTTTTGTTCGTCACACATTTAAATTAAATAACACCACATAAATTACTTTGAGTCGATTACAATAAATTTTACATAGAAAAAAGTTCGTCACTCTTTTAAATTAATTAACACCTCATAAACTACTCTGAGTCGATTACAATAAATTATATTTAGATAAGAAAGATTGCGTAAAATTCAATAAATCATCCCTATTTGAAAATAATACGCTACCTATGCAAGTTATGTTTACCAAGAAAAATTAAAATTATCAGAATGGGTTTAGTTGAAATATTTAAAACAAGCCAATAAAAAAAATAACATGTAAGTGAAAAAATTTATAAAATAAGTGAATCGATCTACAATTGAGAGAAATCGGCGCCTCCACCATACATGTCACGCCTAATTTGGGAACGGAGTCTTAACCATCTATGTTATGCCGGTAATTGGTTAGTTATTTATTTTACTTGCCTGATTTTAATGCAAATTGATTATTTTGGCGTGACTGGGGGTCAGGTACTAAAATGACAAGATAGGCAAGTTTTAAAACAATAACAACTTTATTATGTAAATATAAAGGAAATTAAGATAAAAGACATTTACAAAAAAAAAAGGATCTTTCCCTCAATGTAGATCAACACACACAAAAGAAACAAGTCTGTTTTACTTACATTATTGGCAGGAGCGTCGCAACCATCATCACCTAGGGGTAGTGTCACCAACACACAGAATTTGCCACCTAGTGTTCTTTGTAAGGGTAGACTTTATCCCTTCGCGTTCCGGAATCGACTGATTGCGAATCAACCATCGATCCCCGTCCACGCGCTAAACTTTCTGATGAACCAGTGATTATTTTGACCATAGTTCAACATGGGTCATTCACTGGTTCCAGAAGTTTCTCTGGTCTTGCTGATCTAATGACAAAAACGACGAAGTCCTTATTGATGACTTCGCGAAGTTCAATAATTTTCCTAACGACCAGAGCTATCAAACTAGCGTCAAATTCCGCTTGCAAAATAGGTAGTTGTTTTCACTTGCTGCCTCGTTGCTATGTGCTGATAAATATGCTTACTTTGCAAGTGAATGAACTCGATATCCGTTCTATTAATTTAAAAAGAATAGCAACGTTATAATTATAAAATATTTAATTAATTTTGAAATATGTTTTAAGGTCTAAAATGGTTTTTTGAATTTCATTAAAATTTCACTGCGTGACAGTATTTTTACCCAAGCGTTCCTCGATACTAATTACAAAGTATCAAAGCCAAGTTGGCTTTTCTGATCAATAGGAACGAAAAAACTTTGGGATTTTTCCATGACTAATTAAAAAATCATAAATAGTGAATTTAAATCTTTCTTTATTCGGCGACGTTTCGACGCTCTCTGCGAGGTCATTTTCAAGACTGTATTGAGTAAAACAAGAGAAAAGAACATCGTACAAAAAGAGTTTGTAAAAGTTACAATGTAATCAAAATTCGAAATAAACTAACAAACACATACCAAGGTTTTTGTTATACACATGTCATAATTAGATAAATAACTCAGCAATTCGTTGTCGAGAAGACAATCTTGGAATCACTCATTATGTAATTATCAAGAAGTCGAAAAATTCGTGCACTAATTATTACACATACAAGTAACCACATGTTTGGCAGAGGAGGTATAAAACTAAAAACAAAAACAGAATTAGAGCGATTAGGCAGCGGTCGAAGGCGCGCGTGACGACCTGTGCCACGAGCGCCGACAACGTTTTCGTTCCAATAATCCTAAATACGTGGCGCTCAATCCGTCTACATCTGATCTTTCATTTATCGCGTTTGGAGTTTTTACAATGCTAATCATTTCTCTAATTATGCGTTTTTTGTAGAATCTTTCGGAGTGTCTAATTTTTGTTTTTTCGCAATCAAAATTATGATCAAACTTAATTCTATGCTTTGTCAGAGCATTATGAGATGTTTTATTCTTTTTTATATTATAATCATGTTCGTAATTTCTTATTCTCATATACCGTTTCGTTTGTCCAATGTATACTTTATCGCAGCTTTTACACGGGATTTCATATACAATATTCGATCTGTTAACAACCTTTAAGCTTACTAAAATTAACGCTATTTTTCAAATTGTTATAAAACACAGGTGTTACATCATATTTTTTCAACGTTTTTTTCAACTTAATATCAGCATTATTAACAAACGGCATTACTACGTAGACAGTATTTTTGGTTTCCGGCTTTTCTTTTGGAATTTTGTTTTCATAAAAACGAAGTCCCTTTTTGATATAACAATCGATGAATTTTTCCGGGTACAAATTGCTCTTAACAGTTGATTTTATTAGCGCTAAGTTTTCTTCGTGGAGTTACATCCAGCGACCTTTGCCCCTACCTATGAATTATACCACCGGCCATGACACGTCTAATTAGTATATAAGCTCACAATTTTCTCATTCAATCAACAGTCTACTTTATAGGTCAAACCTATGTAACTTGTTCATTTGCCATCAATAGTGTGTAATAATTAAGATAATAAAGTGTAATCCAGGTTCCTGAAAACCGAACCAAATAAATGTGTTAAAACAAAGTGTTTTTAAAACTACACTCAAACATCTTACGTTTTAACTCCGGGGAAGGAGTTTAATATTGACGAAAGCATGGTACCGTTTCAAGGACTGCTTCTCGTCAAACAGTATTTACCCAATAAAACCCACAGATGTGGAATTAAACTATTCAAGTTGTGTTGCGAAACTGGATATACTTGGAATTTATCAATTTATTGCGGAAAATCTGAAAGTAGACAGCATTCACTCGCAACCGATGTGGTCTTAAAATTATCCGGTCCCCTTCTCGATTCAGGAAGAACCATTATAACTGACAACTCCTATACAAGCATTGAGCTTGCAAATGTTTTGCTCGAGAGAAAGACCCATTTGCTTGGCACACTTCGCAAAAATCGTCGAGCCAACCCTAAAGAAGTAGCAAACAAAAAATTAAAAAACAGGGGAGATGATTTCTAGTGAAAATCAACAGGGTATCACAATAACTTATTGGCGAGACAAACGAGACGTGCTTGTCTTATCCCCATGTCATGCAGATGAAACCAGAGAAATAATGCGAAGAAGTGGACGTACCCTAAAACCTAAGTCTGTCGCTGATTATAATTCTGGATAGGCATCAATAGACCTCTCAGATGAGCTAGCTGCCTACGGGACAGCGCTTAGAAGAAGTATGAAATGGTATAGAAAGCTAGGTATTGAGCTTCTTCTTGGAATTGCAGTGATAAATGCACGATTCTTGTATTGTATTGTTACTTCGAAGAACATTAAAGTTAACGAATTTCGAGAGCAAATAATACGAAAACTTTTGCGAAGTCCAAAAGAAATGATTAATTATGTTTCTGATGGACCATCGACTTCAAGTGCACTAATTTGCTCTGCAGTGACGCCAATAAAGAAAACGAAACCATTAGCAATCCACAGATTTGCAAAAAAGCCGGGGATGCTATAACAAAAAAAGAAATGGAAAAATTACGAAAAGTAAAATTTCAAGAGT